TCTCTGGCTCTAGGAATTTGAAGGCTACATTAATGCCTCTGGAGAACATGGAATTGTGGTTTTCTCTTTGGGATCTATGGTCTCAGAGATTCCAGAGAAGAAAGCTATGGAAATAGCTGAAGCTTTGGGCAAAATACCTCAGACGGTAAGAAAAACGAGACTATTTTTTTACGTCTATCCTCACAGGCGTTCTGGTCCCAACTCCCAGGAGCTACATTAAGTCTATTAGCTGAAACTTTAGATCTGGGTTTTCTCTGCAATTCCCTCACTATGAATCCAAGGTCTTTTTTTTTTTTATTTCGTTTTAAATCTCAGCTATGTGTGAAACCATGGTCCACTGCTCAGAAGTCTCATTTTCTCTAAGAGTCTCCAAACTGCATTAAGAGGAATTTATTTAAAAATAAACAAGCTATTGATTTTCCATATTAAATGGGAATATGTCTGCCTAAAATCACTGGTTAAGACACTGGATTTCTTTCTTATTTTTCTGCTTTTGTTGTTCTGCATTACTTATTTCAATAAGTAGTTTCCTTTGAAGAGCATGAAGGTGGAAAAATAAGAAATACACAGCTCAGTGAATTTTCACAAGTAATGAACATGCCCTTGTGCCCAAGCTGCCCCAGAACTCTTCTCAGTCGCTAGGCCACCCACCGTCATGGAGGAAGCTCATGTCACTCACAGGTCCTACTTGCAAGCTACCAGAGCAGACTGTTTCTAAGTTATATATGTTCTTTCTTTCAAGCTGTTCTTTCATCCCTGCTAGGTCCTGTGGCGGTATACTGGAAGCCGCCCATCAAACCTTGCGAAGAATACGATACTTGTCAAGTGGCTACCCCAAAATGATCTGCTTGGTATGTCGGGAGGACTTGACATGTAGGGTAAAGCAGGATAAGTGAAGAGAATGGCTTGGGCGTGGTTGCTCTTAACGTGTGTTTGTCTTGGGAAGATTACGGCCAACATGTCTGCATTGCTTTGATCTAGTGGGGCTATGTCAGCTCACATTTTCTGTAAACTTCTGGAAGGGCTGCACGTGGACTGTCCTGAGTCCTTAGGGGATTTCATGGCCTAGACCATGTCAGTCTGTGACACCCGCCACCTGACCACAGGCATCCCCTCACTTTGCTTCTCAGCTCACCCAAAGACTCGTGCCTTCATCACGCATTCCGGCTCCCACGGCATTTATGAAGGAATATGCAATGGTGTCCCGATGGTGATGCTGCCCTTGTTCGGTGACCAGATGGACAACGCCAAGCGCATGGAGACCAAAGGAGCTGGAGTGACCCTGAATGTCCTTGAAATGACTTCTGAAGATTTAGCAAATGCTCTAAAGACAGTCATCTTTGACAAAAGGTAACAAATTCCGAACAAATATTACCTGTATTTTGGCCATAGCATCCATGATAAACATTCACATATAAAAACAAACACATCAGATAAATTCTAGGATTAGAAATAAGTTGAGCATTATTGTTACTCACTTTATAAAAGGATCTTTTAGTTCTTGAATAATTTTTAAATAAATTTTGCTATAGGGTTTATGTGCTCACCAGAGATAGAGAGAAGGAGAAAGAGTGAGAGAGAAAGAAAGTGAGAAAGTTTTTTCTGTTCCTCTCTTGGGATTTTGGGTGCACACACACACACACACACACACGTGTCTGGTGTGGTTTCAAAACACTGAGTCTGGGACTCTATGTGCATAATCGACCTTGTGGTGCCCAGCTACTGAAACCTCCACACCATCTGCTGGCCTTAGTTCTTGAATAATTTATCATTGAATTCACTAAAAACTTTATTTTCCCAAGTAGATTTAAAATTTCAGTTTATAGGGACCAGCAGTTAACGTAAATGGCTTTGTTGCTGAACTCCCATGTAGTCGACTGTAGTTCGAGTTCCAGACCTGGTGGCTTAAACTCATGCCAGGCGTGTGTGTGTGCATGCCCAAGATCCCAAGAGAACATGGAGGAGAAGGGATTGTGGCGTGGTCATTCCCCCTAGGGGGTGATTTCTCGCTTTCTATCTCTGTTTCTCTCTGTCTTTCTGGTGAGCACACGCACCCTATAGGAAAAACCTCTAAAAAAATTGCAGCTTATAAGAATGTCTAATAGATGTTATAAAAATGTCTAATAGACACCCTTATAGACATCTGATGCATAAGTTCCTTCAAAGATTGAAATACTGCATTACAAGAAGCATAGTGTCCGAAGATGAAAACAAAACAGGTGCTTAGAAGCACAACTTCCAAAGCCCTGAAGCCTGTGTGAGTTTTGTGCATGAGGCTTTATAAATGGGAGTGTCATATGATATCACAGAAACAGACTTAGAACAAAAACAAATGCAAAGTTGTTCAAATGTGGCCCTGAGAACTGCTCAAATGTCATTGGAATAAATGTTGTTCGCATTAACTGAGTGTATGGTTGACCAGTTGTCAAGTACTGATCCCGGGCCCATCAAAACCTTATGGGAAGAATTAGTGTCCAGTAGTCAACTTCTTCCTATAGCGTGTGTGCCCACATTTGTGTGCATTTGTGTTTTGGGGCAGGTGTGTAGCGTGTGTGCCCACATTTGTGTGCAGTGTGTTTTTGGGCAGGTGTGTAGACACACATGTACACACACATAAGTGTGTGCATGTATGTTTGTGAGTACATTGGGTGCTTTCAGCCATAGTTGCTCCCTTAGAAAAAGTCATGAGGGGTGGACTAGCATATGGTGTAATAGTTGTCATTGGACTCCCATGTAGTCAACCATAGTTTGAGAATGGACCTAATGGCTTAAAACTCACAGCAGGCACATGTACATGTGTGCTGATTCTGAGAAGAGAATGGAGGAGAAAGGATTGAGGCAGGCCATCTTCCCTGGGAAGTGATTCTTGCTTTCTGTCTCTGTAAATAAAAAAATTAAAAGAAGAAAAAAAGAGCAATACGTAAGTCAGGAGGACGAATGTGAAAAAAGAATGTGTCCAGCTCGAGGAGTTGCTACCAGGGGACACACCAAGCCTGTGCAAGGGGCATGGAGGAGGATGGGGGCCCGAGAAGTGACTTTCAGCCTACTGGATGCTGGTGTGTTTGTGGTGCTAGTAGATAAAAGAAGACCATCAAACCTCTGGGTAAAGGGTTGGAGTGTTAGGCAGTGTGGATTTCGTCCCTCATCCCAGTTGCCACCTTTGGCTGCAGATGCTGCTCACCTGTCCATATCATAAACCTGACTCTTTCCATGTGACAAAACTCATTCTTGAGGCTCAAAGTATAATATATTGGGTTGTTAGAAAAGTCATGACGTTATTTTTCTATGCAAAAATGCATCATGACTTTTCTGAACACCGAATGGTTTTGATCCTCTGTGCAGTGGTACAGATAACTACTCGTAGATTAAAATTGACTTGGTTGAACTTCTCCAGTACATTTGTATTTTCTAAAGACACTGATCAATCAGATTTAGCTATGAACTAACTCCTCTGTTCCTTTTTTGAGCCATCTCTATCTGATTGTGAATTTCCATGGTTCCAGCCCCCTGAGCCAAGACCGTCACCTAAACAAAATAAAGTGAAATGGCAAATTTTCAAATATCAGTTTGTAGAGGCAACCAGGGCATCATAGATGCTCAATAACTATTGAATGACTGAAAGTTTTAAGAGGATCTATCTTAAGAGAAGATTTATATAAAAGGAATGTGCTTAATAGAATGTTTGCCCAAATATTATATGACGTTATACCAATGTATCCAAATAAACATCACGGATATGTCTAAGGACCGCAGAGACCCTAGCCGGCCCTGAATAGGAGTGTCTTCTGTTCAGCTCTCCCTTTTCTTTTCAATCGCCTCCTCTTTTCCCTTCTCTACCTTCTTCTAGTAAATCTACACTATGGGTTGAAGCATCTAACTCATTTTGGATTTAGATTTCCTGATTCAGCTGTCAACACCATCCAACATAAACAGCCGTCCACTTTGCATAAGCAGGCTGCATAGACACAGCCTCATGCAAAATTTAGTCCTTGGAAAGTTTGATGTGTTTCAGTGATTTGATTGAAAGAATACGACCACCTTAGAGTTGGCATTTAATAATGACTTTAATTTGGCCAGGTGTGATTGTTTACAACCTTAAATGAGAGACCATTCACAATTTGTATGACCTTTTCTTTTCTTTTAGAATAAACAAGGTATAACTTGATTTCCCACAAAATTCTTTTTTTGTATCTAACTTCTCAAAGATACCATTAAAAAGAAAAGAAGGAAAGGAAGAAGCAAGGTTTGGCAGTGTAGAATTAGGAACCAGTGATACAGTGGTAACATGGGATGGTCCGTGACGCTGACCCACGTGGGAAGGTTCGAGTTTGAACCTCCCCGCCCACCCCAGGCATTCAGGTCTTGGTGATCTATTTTTATTTATTTATTTATTTATTTATTTATTTATTTAATTAATTTTGTGAGAAACACCACTTACTAAGTATTGTGTGCGTGCATGTTCTTTCTGGTTATCATAGAATCACGTTTCCTCTGCCACGTTCGGCAAGGCTGGGCTCACTCTGCACGGGGGGCAAGCGTGGGCGGAGTGCTCATCCTCCTGGTGTCCCAGGCACTAACACGACCCTCTCTGTGTTTAGCTACAAGGAAAACATCATGCGCCTCTCCAGTCTTCACAAGGACCGGCCCATAGAGCCTCTGGACCTGGCTGTGTTCTGGGTGGAGTTCGTGATGAGGCACAAGGGGGCGCCCCACCTGCGCCCTGCAGCCCACGACCTCACTTGGTACCAGTACCACTCCCTGGATGTGATGGGCTTCCTCCTGGCCATCGCACTGACGGTGGCCTTCGTCACCTTTAAAATCTGTGCCTGTGGCTTTCGGAAATGCTTCGGTAAAAAAGGGCGGGCGAAGAAAAGTCACAAATCCAAGGCGCACTGAAAAGTGGGTGGAAAGTAAGGCGACATTTTAATCCAGACCCCGGTCATTTCGAAACCTGCATGCAGAATCAGTATTAAATTCACTTTATTCTTATTAAAGAAGCGCTTTGCCAAAAGTTGGGCATTCTTTTCAATGTTCTCTTTGTTTTTAATGGGGTGAGAGTGTTCTTGACAGGGTCTTGCCACCCAGGTAGCTGAGCTCACAGGTGCTCCTGTAATGCACCTGCCCGGGTGGCTTCTGGGATTTATCCTGGCATCCATGGGTGCCTACATGGCTGGACACCCAGGGTGGTCCTTTTTTTTTTTTTTTTTTTTTTTTTTTAAAAAACAAACACTAATCTTATCACTGGTCACACCTGTAGAGTAAGGTATTTCGGTTTGTATTTTGCCCCCTCTGTTGTCTTTAACCTCTGTTGCAGAGGGGACTGGTCCTGAGAGTGGCATGCCTTAGAAATATGACCTGGCTGAGTGCACAGGATTCGAAGGTGGTCCCACAGTTGGAGTCCCCCACTCTTGATGACAATTTCCACGTCACCCTCAGGCTTCTGCAGACTGTCATGGCCGATGATACCTTCAATATGGTTGATCAACTTTATGTTCAGGCTTCAAAGGTGTCAGGCTGTGTGTTCAATGAAGGAAACATTTGTACCTTCAGGGTGGAGTTGGAAGGAATAAATGTCTCAGAGTCCTTGAGAATGGTGTATAAATTTTGGCTTTGGGGAAAAATGAATGAAGCTATTAAACTGGCGAATGATGTGCTCAAGAGGATAATTATTGCTTGTGTCAAGTGGATCTGAATTTGCTAAAAATCAGAAGTAGAGTGCTGGCCACGTGTATGTTTCCTAATGTTACCCACAACTAAAAAATATATCAATAAATTCATGTGAATTATATTTCTCAGTGTTTTTCTCTGCATTGGTGTTGCATTTTTTTAAGAGTACCTCAAATTACATTTATTTATTTGTTTATTGTTGTTTATTGTTGCCCTCCACAACTCCTGAAGTGTAAGCTATTAAAGACAAGGAATTACAAGCCAGCCCTGTGGCCTAGTACTTAAGGGAGCTGGATCCCACATGGCCAACTGTGGTTGAAATTCCAGCTGGGTGTATATATATATATATTTTCCATCCAGAGTACACTGTATATTGTCTCAATCGAGCACATCTACAGACATGTTATTGTCAACAAATAATTTTCCATTTCTTGTTTCCTGTATGTTTTGCTCCCCCACCCCATCCTTTATTCCCTATCTCTTACCCTCAGCCATCTCCCACTCTCTTTCCACACTGTCTCTGGTATCTATGTTTACTTTCTATACTGTTTTTCCCCCATTTTTTATTGAATTACTGAAGATCTTAATTAATCTAAATATTTTTGTAGCAAACACAGCTGATATATACATTTCCATGAACACAAGTCTAACTTTAGGCATCCTATAAAGTAGCACCTAGCTGGGGCTATATATCTTAACTGCAGTCATCAAATTGATTTTTTTTTCTGAAACTTTTTTTTTGTAGCTTAATTTACATTCTTTCCATAAGCTTCAACACAGCAGACAAAAACTGAATTCCCATC